TTGACCCCAAACACCTCTCTACAGTGGGGTCTTGACTTGAGAACTTAATCCGTATTGGAAGGCGGTTCTCAAGTCAAAAAGTCTGTAGGTCAAGTCTCCATTGACCGACAGTGCATTGAAAACCGATTAATCCCGTAACAGGCCGTTTTTGTTCCATTTTGTTGTTTTTTTCTGGTCTGTAAGTCAAATCTCAGTCTGCAAGTCAAACCTAAATTTTGGTGCTGAGATGGCTGCAGTACCCATGGCTATACAAAGCTGATCTTGACCCCAAACACCTCTCTATTAGGAAGAGTGGATCGAGGGCAACCCAAAATTGAAACACTTGTGCCTTCTTTGTTGTCAAACGGCCAGAGAAGTCTGTAACTCAAAAAGTCTGTAAGTCAAGCCGTCTGTAAGTCAAGGGTCCACTGTATTAGGAAGAGTGGATTGAGGGCAACCCAAAATGAAACACTTGTGCCTTCTTTGTTGTCAAAGGACACCTCCAATATGTGTGGTAGTTTGTTGTCAAAGGACATCTCCGATCATGTGTGGCAGAAATCAGTCACTGATGCCTGACTCCCCCCATACCCCAGGCAGTAATTGAAGTCATACTCTGTTCACTGGATTTAATAAGGCAACAGCAGAATTGTTTCTGGATTTCTGCAATCATTTTTGTTTACTTTCCATTGTTTTCATGGTCTGCAAAAGAATTGGGAGGTGTGAGTTGACCTGGCTTAGGGAAAACAGTGTTAAAAGATCAATTAATAGGAGATATTTCTGACTAGGGAACACTAATGTGATATCTGCAGGTCTCTCAGAAAACCTGGCTTCTTTGGAAAAGACAAAGGCTTTAAAACCACTGATATTGGATGAAGCAAGATATATTATCAGTACACAAACTCTTCAAATGTCGTGCTGACATTTGTGCACCTGATGACACTCCTGCAGTTATGTCACATTTAGCTTCATAGACTAGCATTCTAATAAATTTTCATTCTTCTCTTGTGCCAGGCTGGGTGATTATCAGACACACAACTGAGCACCAGAAGTATCATGGATTTGTGGAAGATCACTTTAAAACTCCAACTGTGTATGTGTCATTTGGAAATAGCACCAGCTTGTGGGTATTCCTATTGAGAGGCAATATTTTGTTGGTTGCTGCTCCTGTTGATAGACATTATGGGAGCTATCCCTGCAGATATTGATTGGCTTAGTGGTTTATTGTCCCTATATTTCATCCTAGGCTTTTTCAAAAATCCTTCTTAAGGCTGGAGAGCAAGGTCTTATAATGGCTGAGTAACTCTCTGAGCTTGTAGTTGAACCAAGGGATGTGTCTTAGGGAATTAATTGTCATCCAGAAAGATGCAGAATTCTTTGAAAGGAAAACCTGTTGATAGGGGAACACAATTTACGAAGTATATTTGCACTACAAAGCACACATTATTGTTATGAACTTTGAAGTCATTAGAAAGTAAAGTTTCTGCCCAGTTTAAGTCCAGGTATTGTCTTTACCCAACTAAGGCACAACAGAGAGTGTTAGGGTAATTACAGCATGGTCTGTAATAGGATATTGTCAAAGTAACTGTGTGGCTAATAGAGGGAAGCTAGTTGATTCCTGAATACCACCTACTTTAGGAGGAGGCTACTGAAACCTGGCTGAAGTGACCTAACAGGAACATAACTTAGCTAGTTCTAAGAACATCTTCTCTATGTAAGAATCATTATCGGTATAGTGCATTATGTAAATTTTATTTTCTACATGTGTTTTTGTCTGTTCCAACCATTTTGGTTTTGCTCTTTTAAACAAAGTAAATACTTACAGAATGAAACCTTAATTGCTTTGTATCAGGTATATCTATTCCAGTACTTACTCCTTTCATATGTGATCTTCTGGCCAGCTGTGCTGTTAGCCAGAAAATTGTTATTAGGGATAGGGGTGGCTTTGACATGCCTTTCAGACACCTGTGCCAAGAGGACTTGCCTTGCTCTGGGGTACTTTTATGTTCCTTGATCTGATTGTGTCACACAGGCAGTACCATTTACTGCTCTGCCTCAGGCAGGAAAATTCTGTGGGGCAGCGGTGATCACCATTCTGATAATTTCACGTGTGCGTTGGTATCTTTTCAGGTTGAGTATCTTGATGAAGCAATGCCCATCCATTTGATGTTTGGAAAGATGGCCTGGGGAAAAGCTTGCATATTGCATGAAGCCTAGGGGCTGGGCAAGCTCTAGGAGTTCAGAAGACAGTTTTAATTTCCCTGGACCCACTTCAGGCTGTATCAGTCTCCTAAAATGAAAAGAAAACAAGACGTGGCTGGGTGTCTATTTCTGTTTTGCACTATCTCCCTTTAAAACAAACAAACAAACAAACAGCCCTGCACTTAGTGTTAAAAGAAAACTGCTGCCAGGAAAATATTTTAGGAGAGTGTCCAGGAACTACAGAAACAGATGGGGAGAGCTCACAGGGATTTCTTGGGCTATGTGATTCCCATCCCTGGCCTAGAGTCTCCAAGATGTACAATATATGCTTTCCATGCTTTAAGACTCTTGTGTTGCTGTTGGCTAGGCTAGTGAAGTGCAGTCAGTTAAAATAGCAGTCTCTCCATCATTTTCCTCTCTTGCTTTAAACTACAGCTGGAACTGTGCTTTTTCTCATTGAAGTGAATGGCTGCCATGTAGTGTATTCCAAGTCTTGTGGATTCAAACTCATGAAGTCAGGGCCATGTCCCTACTGCATAGCCCCAGGCGGGATGGAATGCCTTAACTCTCCTGCTAATTTAAATAGCTTGCCTTCTGCACATGGTTGCATGTGTCACAGACACCTGTCCTAAAGAGCATACAAACTATGGAATTGCTTGGGAAAGGGTATACTATGTCTCAATTATGTGCACAAGGTTTGGTTATTAGTTTTGTTGCTTGTCTTCTAGATGCAGGTAGTTCACTGTACTACACACATTAGTGTTAGTAGTGCTAGCATTAGTATTATTAGCAGTATTGGCTCTTCTTTTGATCATCTCATGAGGTTAGAATAAAGAAGTCTGCTGAGGCTTCTAAGAATTGTAGTTTCTAAGATTTTGGTATTTTGCCACCCCATTTTCTACTCTTAAATGGTATTTTTTCTCTTTTTTTGAGAATATTAAACAGTACATGGGATAGTTACAGATAGTGCTACCATAACTATTTATGGAGGAAGCGAAAGATCTTATGCTATGATATCAGGTTTTATTTTATTTTATTGGCTACCCTTGAGTTGGATCACTTCCAGGGCAGCTACAGTTACATTTTTAACTGGTCTTGAACCTATCAGAAGCTGGTATGGCCTTGGCTGTCCCCAAATGCACAGTGTCTATTCTAACCTCAAGTAATTTGCAAATTTATAGTGCTCAGATGCTAAATTGTCCCTCCTACAAAATCTAATGTAACATACAAACCCCAGCAAGAGGGAAATTGCTATTTTAATGCTTCTTCTTGTTTAAGAACAACAGTTTGGCACCTTTGTGAGTAAAAACTGGACTGCAATGGTTTTCCTTGTTAGGTAATATTTAGAAGATGTCTGTAAAAGCACAGCAGCAAAGAATATCTCACCTCCATTCAGCTATCATCTAATTTATTTTGATTGCTTCCTCTAACATGTATAGCATCAGCTCACTGGGGATTTGTGGACTGGGCGAATGCTGGCAGACGTGTTAATGCTGCATGGGCAGTAGCTGAGAGCCCAGTCTGAATGTGAAGTCACCCATGTGCTATGCAAAGGTATTGAGCATCATGTTTAAATCCGAGCCTGAGGTTTCCTTTTCCTCCTGCAAACCTGCACTGTTTGTAGCCTGATCTCTTGCCTTTATGCTGGTCAGTTTCTGCTGCCATAAAATATCTTATGTGTATTATGGACACACAAATTGTCCTAGAACCATGTCTGAAGTGTGTAATAAAGTGAAGTAGATGACGAAGTCTGAGTTGTAAAAAAATATTGTTCTGAGCCTTTTAGAACATTTTTGGTAGATTTATGGTATTTTGTGACAACCTGAAAAATTAACTAGTAATTTTTTTATCTATCTATCTATCTATCTATCTATCTATCTATCTATCTATCTATCTATCTATCTATCTATCTATCTATCTATCTATCTATCTATCTATCTATCTAAATATTTTTACCCTGCCTTTCTTCTTCAAAAGACCCAAGGTGGCTAATTATTCCACCTGCTCTGTAAATATGTATTTAAAATAAATGGCTTATTTTGATTTGAGCAATTCATTGATCAAAAGCAAGGCTCTTTATAGGACCATGCAAATGCTCAATGCTTCTGCTTCAAAGTCTTGTGGGCATAACGTGGAACTAGCCCAAAGTACAGATGAGAGAATAGTCTGCTATGCAGTCTAAGTAATGGCAGTAGAAAATGTTGCGTTTACCTCTGCGTAATATCCTTAATTCAGATAGTGAAGTACCCTTGGCTTTACTTTTATTGTGGTCTGAGGATTAATGAGGATATAAACAGGGGCTTCAAAGTTGGTGTAGGTTGGGGGGAGCCTAAAACTCTGTCTTTATTTTGGTCAAAATTTCGCTGATTGTGCCAGGCTAAAATCATTCATATTTTAAAACAGCTGTTTACCACAAAGTTATTGTACGGAGGCCGAATGTCATATGCACTTCTTTATTTTTCCCTCTACCTTTCTCCTTAACCATTCACAAGCTTTTCTTTTTGATGCTGGGAAAAAAACTGAATGAGACATAATTAATTGGTCCCTTTTAATTAATCCCTGCATCTCACCAGCCAACATAGATTCACATATTCTGCCCCTAGTTAATTATCCCATCAAATGATGCGACCCCGTGTTCCAGATTCCTATCTCTTCTCTCCCACCCCCAAAATCCATGGTGCTGTAAGCCACTCGTACAGCATATACATAGTTACATTGGCTGCAATGATGCTGCAGAGCCTGACTAGAATGCCTTCCTGGGAACTCTACAGGCAAGTCCATCCCATCCTTTTCCTTAACGTATAATTACAAAACCTCTTTCTTCCTATATGTGTGTGCAGCTGACAAAATTTAGACAGAGAAATCACCTTCCTGGATGATCCTCGGTGCCTTCTGCACTGCAACTCTGCTGAGAATATTCTGCCTTGAGGGATTTCTTTGTTTTTCTGCTTCTGATTTCCCCCTTTCTTAGCTGTAGTACAGCCGTACCAATTGAGCTTGCTAGTGCAGAAAGATGTTGTGAATTCAGTTGCTGTGAATGAGCCTGGCCTGATTGCATACACGAATGTTCCTAGAGGCATGCTAAACAGTCGCAGGTGGATCTAACCTGATCTGCTCTACAACGCAACGGTAAGGCTGTCTCTGTGTGTTTGTGTGTGTGCATATTTTTTAAAATAAGGGATAAACTGAAATGTATTACTAAATCTTGAGCCCTGATTGTTACATGCTTACAACTTGAGCATTATTCATTCCGTATGCATGCTGGGCGTTCTTTCTTTCTTTTAAATGCTTAAACCCTAGGTATACAATCGTTGTGGCCAGCTCAGAATGACCCACAAAGCTATGTACTCTCTTGAGATGCTTTAGAGCTAAAACAAAAACAAAAACCAACAACCCAACCTTCAAATCTTTCCCCTGTTTTTAAAAAAATTAAGGTGGGGAATCATTTTATCAGCTGTACTTCTTGCTTACAGCTGCCTTTCCTAGTCTGTTTTATTAGAGTATTATGAGGATGTTGCAGACAATTTTGTTCATATATGCTTGGATGAGTGCCCTCCGGGACAAGTGGATGAAGGACGTGACCAATCACTTTTTCATCAGTGCAAACAAGTCTGTGTCATGCTAGATTGAGATGGAATAAATGGCTTCAGTAAATTAGAGGGCTTTCTTAATGTGGAGGAGTGAGGAGGCATGGACTACACTGAAATGAACCTTAAAGGAAATATAATGTGATGTAACTGAGGGTTGTGGAATATTTTGGTGTCTTGAGTTATGTGTTGGCTGTATATGCACATTCCAAAATATTTCGAAGGTTGCATGAAAGCATAGGCAGTGGTCTAGGTTTTAGAGGAATACCTCAGTACAGATTAAAGCTTTGATAGGTGTATTTTATATAAATAGAGCATTAAACCCAGTACTCAGTGCATGGCAGACCAGCATGTAAACCACACATGGGCATATGTGGTAAATGTATTGCAGTGCTAGAGAAGCCGTGAACTGCCTTTCAGCTGAAATGTGGTGGATCTGGCTATCTCGTATAGTCCTCCTGCATCAATGTTATAGTGGATTCTACTGAGCAAATTAGAGGCTCTTTGCTGGCATCAAGAAAACACCCATTTAAAATGACATTTTCTCTCTGAAATGTGAAACTGAGTTTATTCTATTTTGGTGTGGTGAAGGTGTTCGAAATCTGTATGATGCTGATAGATACTGCTACCTGTAGAAGTATAGAGGGAGCATCGTTGTCTTAAGTACATTAGTTGGCAGCAAGTCCCACTGAAACGAGACTTTCTCTATATGATGATATATAGGAGTGGACCATATTTCACACTCAGGTAGAAGGAAAGTTAGGCTTTTGTGACTGCATTACAAATGTTTCCTCAAATGTGAGTGATAGGAGCTACCTGTTTTACACATAGTTAAAACCACAAATTTACATTTTGATAGAAATTTAAGGCTAATATCATGCATTTCTGGCACAATAATTACCTTTGTTATATATGGATGCTTCTTCTTATTTTTTGCTTGTTATATAAGACAGCTGTACATACTCAACATTTGTTTCAGGTCTCCTTCAGATTTGCAAAGAAGTTGTGTGTGGTTGTTGTTTCTGTTGTTATATGCCATCTCTGGAATTTCCTGCACTCAGCAGCCCTGTTCAGCTCCTGCAAACTCAAGGCTGTGGCTTCCTTTATGCAATCGATCCATCTCATATTTGACCTTCTTTTCCTGTGTCCTTCAAGTTTTCCTTGCATTATTGTCTTTTCCAGTGAGTCTTCTCTTCTTCTAATGTGCCCAGAGTATGATAGCGCCAGTTTTCTCATGTAGGAAGAGTTCAGGCTTGATTTGAGCTAGTTTGTCTTTCTGGCAGCCCAGGGTATCTGCAGAGCTCTCCTCCAACACCACATTTCAAATGAATCATTTCCCCCCCTCAGCTTTCTTTACTGTCCAGCTTTCACACCCCTACATTGTGACTGGAAATAAAAGAGTGTGGATGACCTTGGTCTTTATCTCCAGTGACACATCCTTGCCCTTGATAATATTTCTTAACTCCTTTGTTGCTGCCCTTCTGAGTCTCAGTCTCCTTCTGATTTCTTGGCTGCAGTCTCCGTTTGGATTGATGGTTTAACCAAGATATACAAAATGTTTAACAGTTTCAATTTCCTAATTATCAAAGTTGTGTAGATTTTTAGTAACCCTATTTTGGTTGTCTTAATATTATGCTGCAGTTGTGCTTTTGCACTTCCTTTTTTCACTTTCATTGAAAGCAGTGCCAAGTCATTGCTGATTTCTACCAGTAATAGAGTGTCATCTGCATATATTAAATCATTGATTTTTCTTCTATCAATTTTTACTCTTCCTTCATCCAATTTTCAGTCTAATCCAGCTTTCCATGTGATATGTTCTGCACAGAGATTGAACAGATAGGGAGATAAAATAAACCATTGTCTGACACCTTTGCCTATGGGAAACCATTCTGTTTCTCCATATTCTGTCCTCACACTAGCTTCTTGTCTGCAGTGCAGCTGATACATCAAAATAGGCAAATGTTGAGGCATAACCATTACTTTCAGAGCAAACCATGGCCTCTCATGATCCCCACACTCAAGGACTTCACTGTAGCCTATAAAGCACAGACTAATATACTTTTGAAATTCTTTTGGTGTGCTCTAGTAATCAATATACATATGTGGGATGATCACTGGTGCCTCTTTTGTTTTCGAATTCAGACTGTACCTCAGGCATTTCTTGCTCCATGTAGGGCAAACATCTTTGTTGCAACAACTTGAGACCACTTTGCTTGCATGGGTAATTAATGCAGTGGTTCTATAGCTGCAGCACTCCTCGGAATCCGCTGTCTTGAGGATTGGAATGTGTATTGTATGTTCCCTGTCTGGGCCGTTGTTTTGTTTTCTGTATTTGTTGGCATACTCTTGTTAGGATTTTGACAGATTCAGTTTCTACAGCTTGGAATAGTTGTATCAGTATTCATTCTACTCCAAGAACTTTCAGAGCAGCTTTCACTTCACTTACTAAAATTGCAGGTTCTTCATCAGGTTATAATTCTAAGGAACTTGTTATCCTTTTATATTTGCTGTATAGCTCTCCTGTACTGCAGTGAGTCCTGGACCCTTTGTGTATGGCAGGAGAGGAAGTTAAACAGGTTCCATATGCGTTGTCTCCGACGAATTTTTGTTATCACCTGGCAAGACAAAGTTCCAAATAGAGTAGTCCTAGAATGAGCTAGAATTGTTAGCATGTATACATTACTGAAACAGCGATGTATATGCTAGTTTGGGCATGTTGTGAGAATGGCTGATGGCCGGATTCTAAAAGATTCCTATATGGAGAATTAGTGCAGGGAAAGCGCCCCAGAGGGAGACCACAGCTGCAATACAAGAATGTCTCCAAGTGGGATCTGAAGGCCTTAGGAATGGACCTCAACAGATGAGAAACCTTGATATCTGAGCATTCAGCCTAGAGGCAGGCGGTGCATCATGGCCTCTCCCAATTTGAAGAGACCCTTGTCCAGCAGGCTGAGGCAAAGAGGCAGTCCCAAAAGGAGCAAAATCAGGGAGCTGGACAGGGAGCAGATTGTATTTGTCTTCAGTGTGGAAGGGATTGTCGCTCTTGAATCGGCCTTCTCAGCCACACTAGATGCTGTTCCAAATCCTCTATTCAGAGCACATTACTCAAGACTGAGGGATGCCTACTAGGATAGCTCTCCATTATATTGTTTATATTCTCTCTTTATTTTGTACTTGTTAGATAGTATATTCCACTCTTGGTCTTTCATCATTCCTAATCTAGGTATAAATTTCCCCTTGATTTCTTTGATCTTCCATTCTTCCTCTTCCGTGGTTCTCTTCTATTTCATTGTGCTAGTTATAATAGTTCTCTTTGTCTCTATGTGATATTCAGTGAAAATTAGCATTCAGGATTCTGACCCTACTTCTGTCATTTTTATTATTGAAATAAGAGCCCGAAAAAACCCACAACAACCATTTTTATTTTTGCATCTTGCCCATCCTTCACAATTTTAAGTGTTTGTTCCATCATCCATCTAGGGTTTGTTTGCTTGGTTGTTTTACATAAAGGACAAGTATTTTCCCATTTCTCCCCAATAATCTCTCTTTCATAGTCAGGTGAGTTTAGTAATGCCTTTCCAAGTTTTATAATTTAGTAATTATTGATGTGGACTTTAAATTCATCAGAAATGTTATTTAAATTATATTTTGGCACTGTGTTTCTTTTTCTGTACTTTTCCTTTATTTTTGCACATGTGAATGCTAAATATTTGCTAATATTTAAAGAGATTTTTCTGATTTTTTAAAAAAGGAGAAGCTCTTCCTGATTGATGGATATGCTTTCTTTGGTTGTCCTATTCAGTGAGAAGTGGCTCATTGGAAACCTCCAGTCTACTCCAGTGTAATATTTCCCTCCTCCAAGGCTTTTAGTAAACAGCAATTTGACCCTTGGAGTAAAAAAGAACAAAACACCCTCCCTATCTATAGTGTAAAGTCAGTGGATTAAATCTTATTGTGCTGCTTTTTAAAGACAAATTGTCTCAAGTTAAGAAATCTCTGCAGACATTATCTGTTGCACGCTGAGTTGTATCACTCAGTATGCAATAGATACAGTCTGTGGAGATTCTTCCTCTGAAAGTTAATGCCTTTTGCATAGCAGTCTAACAGGATTTCAACCATTCTCTCATATCTCTTTTCATATCTACCATATGGCTTGCGAAAAATCAGCCCACTCCTTGCATATAACAGTACTACCTGAGAACTTCTTCAGAAAAAAACAGCTTATAAATGCTGGCAATAAGTAAGTAACGTAGTAGAGATATAATTAAGTCAAAAGTATTTAACTGGAAAATCAGTTCCAGTTGGTTCTGTGATGTGGATAGACCTGTTGTATAATTAGGACTTGTCCTTTAACATTTCTGAGAACTAGTGAACTGGATAACTCAACTGCTAGGTTTCTGTTTGGAATCAGGTTTCATTCTCCACTCTATCACAAAATGCACATATTGGCTGAGGACAAATGGTACAGACATACAAATTTGAGTTTTATTTGTGGGTTATGCACTACAGGGTTGTGTATTCTTTTGTTTCAGGTTCTGAATC